CACTTCTTGGCCAATGCACCAAATGTAAGGGACCGGCGAAATGTCGGAGGAAGAGACCACCAAGAGACTGCCTCATGCAACAGCAAAGGGTTTATTTGGGGACCAGCATACTGAAACTCAGTGCTCACCTGAATAGAGCAAAGAGAGATAGAGCCCTGAGAATAGCTTAAGCAGAGCTTATATACTTTCCTTGGAGAGGGCAGGGAGAGAAGTTACATTTTGTAGTTTGGCAGTTGGGGACAGCTCATTCTGGGAACAAGATTAACAAACAGTTCACAGTTGGGGACAGCACATTCTGGGAACAAGATTAGCAAACAGTTCTTAAGATTTCAACAGTGTTTTGTTAAGCATATAGAAAAACGGAATGACAAGTATCTATTTAATTAACCTTTCAAAAGGAGCAAATAATCCCAATGCTACTTAATGTGTCCCAGAATATAGTAAAAGAAGAAATTGTCTTCTTAGGAAATGATAAAATTCTGATGACAAAACCTGACAGGTGGGAGCTCCAGGACTTTAGGTGACACCTGGGTCCTCCTCTCTTTCTGCTTCACTGTCCTTAGCATGTGTCTTCATCTTTAGGGTCACCTCGTGGTAGCAAGATGACTATATAACTCCAGTTACCCTGCCATGCAGAGGTGGAAGGGTATCTGGCAGCTCCATCAGACTTCCACAAAGCCCTGCCTGGTGACCTTCATTTAAATTGCTTTGATCCACGTGGAGACACATGACCTCCTCTAGCCACAGGAAGCGTTGAGGCAGGTAAACCCCCTCTTGAAAATCATGCTTTGCCAAATATAATACAGGAGGCCCAATTAAATTTGAATTTCAGATAAATAAGTATGTTAGAACATACTAAAAAGTTATTACTATTAATTTGAAATTCACATTTAACTGAGAATTTGGGTCCTATTTTTCTGTTTTTGTTTTGAAAAACCTGACAGCCTTACTCATAAGTTATCAGGTATTCATAACTCTGGCTCTTATTGTCATCATTTCCTTATGTTTTAAAAATAGCTTTGTCACCTGTTGTGCATCCCTAGACATTATTAGTCTTGCCCATTACAAATTTAAATCTCTTTTAATATATCTTTTATAATCTCTTTTAATCTATCTTCCATCCCTTCCTTTTCCTTAAAATGAATACAATAGACAAGATAGTTTCAAAAGAGTGAAGCAGAAGGAATATATATATATATATATATATATATATATATATATATGGATGACATAGTTATATAGAGATAGATATGGAACTTTGATATATGACAGGTCACATTATGAATAATTCATTGGAATAAAAATGAAATATTTTAAATGGTATTTGGAGAACTGAATTAAGATAAACTGACTACTACAAAAATAGCCAGCAATTATTCCCTGCTCTGTATGTAGGTTTTCTTATCATGTAACTTTAATGCCTTGACTCAGAGCCTGAGGTCAGCCAGGTCACTTGCTGTGGCTAATGGGATGCTGCCACACATGACAGGCAGAAGCTTCCACAATGGGGCCTGTTCCCTTTTGCATTCTGTTGAAATCATATGAAGAAATCGGGTAGGTGGGCAATGAGGGATGCCTGGCTCAGTGGCAGATACGTGGGACACCTAGGTGGATAACCTCCCAGTAATCAACATCCAGAGTCAGAGGAATGTAGGAGTTGTTTTAAGCTACTAAATTTTGAGGTGGTCAGTTATACAGCAAACTAGCGGATAAAAGTATTACATGGAAAATATGAACAAAACTCTGGATTACTGCCTCCCATTTTATGTGTATGTGGGTGTAATATTTTTCTATCTCCATATGTATCCAGGTAGATTAGATGTGTCCTAGACATGTATCCAGGTAGATTAGAGACTTAAATATGACAAACAAAACTTAAACTTTTTGACAGAGAAAAGAACATTATGACCTCAGATTAGGGATGTTTTTTAAGCAAGATGCAAAAAAATACAAAACATAAAGGAAAAAACTATCACATGTAACTTCAAAACATTTGCATCTCAAAAGAAACTAAAAACAAAGTTAAAAGACAAAGAATTAGCATTTGGAATATATAAATAACATATAGAAATCAATAAAAATTAA